CGGTTAAGAATATTATGCTTCTCCATGATCAAGAAAAATTGGCTCTGTTTTACAGTAGTGGGAATAATTGAGTGCAAGAAAAAGTCAAGGATCCAATGCTCTAAGATTTTCAAAATTAGATTCCGGGCATCTTTAATTGATTCAGTTTATGTTAGATATGTGAAATCTAGTAGTGATTTCTGTCATATGCATTGTTTTTGAATTGACGTGCTTCAAACCGTTTAACATGACTATTCTGTTTATGTGCTGTTGCAACTGTCAGTCACTAACAAGAATCTGTTTCTTTACTTTTTTGCCATTGTGATTGATGTTTATGTAAACAGTGTTTTTTGGGTAATCTCATTTGTCATTCCTTTTGTGGGATGTTAGCCAAAATCATTTTCTTGGGTTAAATCAAATAAACCAGCACCTTCTTGTCTTCAGTTTTTTCTCCCAATTCTTTTGAAGATTTTATGGTGATTTGTGGTTTTGTTCATTTCCAACTTATGCGTGATGCCTTTGAAATTCTGTTATCTTGATTTATGCTTGTAAAACTGAACTTTGATTTCTGCCCACTTCTTGATTTTCAAGGTAAGGAAGTTGAATCATTTTAGTTCGCCAAACGAGAATGAACTCAGCATCAACACAATTCGTGCCAGCGAGGCGAATGGGCATATATGAGCCGATCCATCAAATGGGGATGTGGGGTGATTTCAAAGGCAAAGCATGTCTGGATGAATCTTCACCGTTGATTTTTGATGTTGATGCTAAACTAGACAATCAGGTGAAACAAATGAATTTCCTCAATACCTAGAGACTCATGCCAGAAGAACTATTTAGCTGACTCGTTTTTATCTGCATGTTATATAGTCGGAGGATACTTCACATGGAACAGTTGGTCCTTCCAATAAATACGATCAAGAAGCAAGTAAGCCTGAAAAGGTATAAAATTATGTGACAATTGCTGACTTCTTCTCATTTTTCATATTTTTTCGTTTCTTTTTTTCTTTTGAATTTGGTTTTGAGAATTTGTTCTCTGTGGATTTTTGTCTGCTTCATTGGGGTTTTGAGAGAGATCGTAGTTGGTTACAATTTTTCCAACTTATACAAGTTCCAAATGTTGTAAATCATATTTTTCGTCTCAAAAATTCGTTGTAGAGAATGTTACTTTAAATATTTTGATGAGGATTGAGCTTTTCGATCTGTAGGTATTGAGACGCTTGGCACAAAACCGTGAGGCTGCTCGTAAGAGTCGTTTACGTAAGAAGGTATAAATATAAAGTGGTTTTATTGGCAGATATTGTTATTTTTCTGACTAAGTCATTTAGACCTTAAATTTGTTAGCAAGCCCTTTAATTTCTTTTGTGCAGGCCTATGTTCAGCAGTTAGAAAATAGCAAATTGAGGCTTATTCAGTTAGAACAAGAGCTTCAACAAGCCAGACAACAGGTGAAAAAAGTATCTCTGTTTATTTGAGATCCCTTTTATATATTTTCTTTCAAACTGAAACATAGCTCGCATTAATTGAGCAGCACATTTCATATTTCTAAAGTGGTACTTTTCTGCTGCAGGGATTGTACATTGGTGGCACTTTAGATACTACTCAGCTAGGATGTGTAGGAACTACAAATCCAGGTTTGTATAATCATATCCCACCACAGCCCAAGTAGTTTATTGAACATTTTTCGTTTACTTATATTTGGTGATTATATTATAAAGTTCAGAGATGGTTCGTTTATCCTTGTGAAATTTTCTTTCTCTATGAATAAAGCTTATTTCATTTTCCATATGTCACAGCCATTGCTACATTCGAGGCGGAGTACGGACAATGGGTGGAAGAACTAAATAGACAAATATCCTGTTTAGGGAATGCTTTGCAGTCAAATGTTGGGGATATGGAGCTTCGATTGCTCGTCGATGGTGGAATAAGGCATTACTTTGATCTCTTTGTCATGAAATCAACGGCTGCAAAAGCTGACGTGTTCTACATCATGTCAGGCTTGTGGACAACGCCAGCCGAACGTTTTTTCTTCTGGATAGGCGGCTTTCGCCCTTCCGAAATTCTAAGGGTAATTCCAAGTTTTGCTTTGAGACCCTAAATATATATTTTTTTTTTCATTTCTCTACAAGTAAATTCGAAAATGTANAAAAAAAAAAAAAAAAATCGATATTTGATTTCAGCTTCCATTTTTTTCCTTTCACCAAGCAGTTAAAACTTTCCATTTTAATCCAATTATTGATAAGGATTTAAAATTGATCAAAATCGGTTTAAATTGGATTGGTTTTGTTTTACTAACATTAATTTAAAATCTAACTAGCCTCACTGTTCTCAATATTGTCAAGTAAATAATATCAATCATCTATCTCTTACATTGCATCAACTTTAATTCGCTATTTATCCACTCACATATTTCTAACCACTTATGCTGTAATTATTGTAACATAATACATGCACGAATCAGGTTCTGAGAGCACATCTCGATCCTTTATCCGAACAACAACAATTGGATGTATGTAATCTGGCGCAATCATGTCAGCAGGCAGAGGATGCTTTATCACAAGGGATGGAAAAACTTCACATAATTCTTGCAGAGACCATAGCTGGAAGAAAACTAGGGGAAGACAGCTATGGCCCACACATTCGAGCTGCTGTCGATAAGTTAGAAGCTCTCGTGAGGTTTGTGGCTCAGGTAACAATAGTAAAAGCGTTCGGAAAAAACTTAATATTGTCGAGAAGAAGTCTAGGCTTCATTTTCATCACATTTTCACATTATATTAAACAAATTAACTAAACTTTTTTGTGTAATCTCATAAACGGTTNATTTGTGTAAAACATTTTTTTTTTCTTTTCTGGATTGTGAAAACAGGCGGATCATCTCCGGCAAGAAACACTTCAACAACTCTTGCGAATTCTGACGCCTCATCAAGCAGCTCGGGCCCTTATTGGGCTGGGTGAGTACTTGAAATGTCTTCGGGCTTTAAATTCTGTTTGGACCTCACGTTCTCGTGAGAAGGCCTAAGTTTGTGATGCAAAATCAGCTCTGAGGCCCTTTAATCTATAGTTGGTTGATATTGCAGATAGTTATGAGATTCACTCTGCCATTTTTGTGCTCTATTTTTGTGCTATTGAAAATTTGTAGATATGTTTAGGTAGTTTTTAAGAGGCAGTGTGCAGACTGCAGATACTTATTATTATTTTTGTATTATTTATTATTTTCCTGTTATTTTATGTTCCTCTGATGTGGTGCTCATGTCAAGTTCTTATAGAAGTGTATTTTGTGCCCTGGGGTCTCTGTAAATATCCAGGCTTGTATTTCAAGTCTTTATTGGCATGTAAAACTGTGTGGGAAGAAGAGTGACAGAAGATTTCTTCTTCTGAAGGCAAGGCAAAGTATTTTTTTTGTTCCCAGAAAATTCTTGGGATTTATATTATTTCATTTGATATCATTTCCTCTGACACTTGGAGAAAATGTTGAAAAAATGAAATGAAATGTAATATACTTCTGTTGAAAAAAAAAATCAGAGAAAAAAATATTTGGAAAAAAAATAGGGAGAAATTAATAATTTGAATTAGATGTGAGTAGAATTGTAATGATATAGTTAATGTGATTAAAAATAAATAAAATAATGAATAGTTAGAATTTATGTGAGTGTATAGTAGTTAAGNNATTGTATGATGAATAATGAAGTATTTGATATTAAATGCTTGCTACAAATACACAATACTGGCTGCTCGTCACGATAGAATACTTTAAGCAACGAAAGCTTCACATTTACTTCACAGAAAAAATTATATATTACTTATCAACACTTTCTTCCCTGGAAAAGATTTCTCCGTGTACCTGTGCGTATTTCCATTCAAAAATTACATATATTTATTTTTTTTTTCCTAAATAACACCGTAAAATTCACATCAGTGTCGACAATCTAACAATTTCAAGTGATAACTTCCATTTTTTTTTTTTACCAACTAAATTGTGACTGAACTTCATTATCTGTTAATCCATCATCACGTAAAAATTGCACAAAAAAGACCATTTTCTACTATAAAAACCCAAACAAAGAAAGATGGTCCAAGAGACAGTGAACTGTTTGAGATTCTGGATTTAACAATAAGACAGCAATTAATTAAACATGCAAGTTTCTGTTTCACAAGGCATTTCTCGCAGGAGTGCTAAAAAAACAAGTCTTTTCAAGTTGGTTCCAAAGTTTTGACCTTTTCGGGATTATGTTCACAACTTTGACATGGCATAGTCCAATGCATCAACCAGGAAATCTGCACAAACCAGAGAAAATATGTATTATTTACAAAATTAAGAAAAAGTCCGGTTATGTTTCCAAAATTACAAGAACCCCTTGAGGTGTACTACAATATATTGCATCGAGATTTGAATTTACTTAACAAACACCTCCTCATCAACAATAGCACTTTGTCGAGGTTATCCATATAACTAAGAGTCCACAGAGTGAACTTATTTATTTCTTTTCCTTTTTCTTTTTTTTTTTTGGTGTAAATAAAATACAACGGGTATTACCTGCATCACATCTTGAAAAACACATAGGAGGCTTTACTCTGAAGACATTACCGTGAAGGCCACCTTTCCCGACCAAAACACCCAGTTCTACAAATCAAGAATACTTTGCACATTTTAGCTAAAGATAATGCAAGTAAAATTCATTATTTAAGTCATTTCTGGAATGAATTTTAAGAACCTCTGAGGGTTTCAAACAAAACCGCAGTTTCAGCTTTGGCCGGCGTCTTCTGATTTCTGTCAGTCACAAGTTCTATACCGACCATTAGGCCTCTGCCCCTCACATCGCCAATAACTGGCAAAATCGAAAAATCTTTATTAGTATTCACCACATTAAATATTATGTAAGAAAAGATAAAACTAGGACCATTACAAATGATAGGCAATTCAGTATGTTACAATGACACCCATCAACTTTTCAAAACATTACAAATAGCATCAACGTTCGTCAACGGAAAGAATATAATGGATGCAAATGCAAAATGTAAGACAAAAGTTGGGTACTCGTATTTATTATAAAGGCTGAAAGTGTGTAATTGCAAAAATATTTGATGAGGTCAGCAATTATCATTAGCTCCACAAATAACACGGCACTAATATTAGCAAGAAATTCAAATAAAAATCTTGTGAAGGTATATAAGTATCAAAATATTACTGTCATGCTTTTGTTGAAGATCCCTTATACGTTGGATCATGTGAGAGCCGACCTCGGCACAATGTTGTTGACGTTTTTCCTTATCGAGAACATTGAGCACGGCAAGCCCACCAGCCGAGCATACGGGGTTTCCTCCAAAGGTGTTGAATTGTATTTTTTGAGCCAAAACACTTGCTATTTCAGGAGTTGTCACGACAGCTCCAAGAGGCAAACCATTGCCTATGCCCTGGGTTTTTTGGTTTTAAATTAATTTTCAGTTTTTTTTTGGGAAAAATAATCATGCCATGTAAGAGACANAGTTAGAAATCTCTAAATGAATGCATAATGATTTTTATTGGAAAATATATAATAATAACGATCTTTTATTTTTTTATATTGTGTTAATGGGATTAGAGATAAAAAAAAGTAAGATACAATGAATAGTGTTTTTGTGGAAATTTTCCTAGTTTCATAAGATAAGAGTCTTAGTCTTGACTTAACAGAAAAAAATGAAAAAAAAAAAAAGTAAAATTATATCCATAGCCAAATGCTTTTTAACTGAAGCAAAATGTGGCCTCAAGAGTGATTCCAGGGATAATTTCAACTCAAATTTGACCCACAGCATAATAAAAGGGAAAAAAAGTGCACACCTTAGCCATGGTAACAATGTCGGGAACTACACCCTGCGTTTCGAAACCCCAATAATGGGTCCCTGTTCGACCGAAGCCCGTTTGCACTTCATCTGCAATGCATACACCACCAGCTTTACGAACACTATCGTAAACCAGTTTTAGATATCCTGGTGCCAATTCAACTGCCCCACCAACTCCCTATCCTCATTTCAGTACAAGAAACGATAAATAGTACTTCTTGTAGCAATAATAATAATAATTATAATAATAATAATAAATACCTGAATTGTCTCGGCAATAAATCCAGCGACTTTTCCTGATGTACCGTGATCAATGTGGTCTTGTACATCCTCGGCATATCGTTTTGCATCAGACCCAAACACGCCCCTGTATGGGTTTGGGTTCACAACATGATGAATTTCGCCCTGACAAATTAATAGCTAAGAATGAGAACCAACCTTTTTCAACAGCCAGATGATAAAGAAATTAATAGCAGTCATATACTCATTAACTTGTGAAAAAATAACATTTAGGCCACCAATCCTTGAGTAACTTCTATATATACATATCTTATCAACTGGACGAAACAGAAAAATGCATCAATAATGGACTAGTGTCTTAGATAATAAAAATATAAAATAAATTTAAACATACACCTCATACAAGTAATCCATTTAAGACTATTTTAAGTCCTTTTAAAGGAGAAACTGAGAACTAGAACACAAAAGATTGAGTTATCTGCATCTGAAGATAAGATAACCTGTGGAATTGGGTATTTCCATGTGTTAAGAGCCGTGAGTCCGATTGTATTCGAACTTCCACCGTGATATGCATTTCTAAGGGCAATCATCCCAAGGCTGCCACTGTACAATCTCGCCATCAACATTGCTAGCTCATTGGCTTCTGTCCCAGAATTTACAAAATAAACAACCTGCAAAATACAAGAAGGATGGAATTAATTAACAATGATAGACATAATCATGGAACACATGGGACATAAAAGAAAAATTTAACCATAACAGATAACAGATCTAGTTCATGAGAATATAAGAATTAACATCAATATTAAACAATAAACATTAGTGTTCCCCAAAACAAAAACGATTGTTAAATTGAAAGGGGACTTTTTAGTGTTTCCCTATGCAAGCTTCTATACCCAGTATAATTTAATCATTATCACACAAGCTTTTAATTCTGCTTCTGGTTTGACTTTTTATCGATGCACTTTTACAATTTATTCACTACACTCTTCTATCCTTTCAACTAATGACTTCTATTGGCAAATACTACCAACAGATGATTCTCAGCTAATATTTTGCTTCTGCTACAGTAAATCAACAAGCAAAATCTGAAATTTTTACACACATTCCCAAAACAAAAAAGAGAGGTTGAATTTCTATTTTTTTTTTTTCTCTCTATTTTGCAATAACTAGTGCTGTCAGAAAATTCGACATAGTTGGAAGTATAAAACAGGTAATTTCTGGTACAGTAACATGAACATACAGTGAAGGGCTACAAGTTTAAACAATACATTGGATATCAACAATGAAACAACGAAAACAAATCCGAAAAACCTTTAAATTTCCAGGCATCTTAGATGCCAGAGCCTCAGCAAAATCGGCTATTGCATGGTGCAAATATATTGTAGTTGCGTGTTGTAGTAGCTTGCTTTGTTCAGTTATGGCATTCAAGATCTCGGGATGGCAGTGACCACAAGAAACTGTCACGATTCCAGCAAATGCATCGAGATATCTTCTTCCATTCTCATCATACAAATACTGCATTTTGCCTTCGACAATATTCAGCTGTTCGGACATAAGAGTTACGAAAAAAAATGTATTAATACGAATGAGGCCAAGATAGATTTGGAGAAACTAATGAGCCTATCACTAAGAAACTTCCATGCTGGTTGGTTGTTGATCATCAATATCAAATACACAGAATTCCAAAAAGAAAATAAATTGAGAATTCATGTTGATGTTTAAGCAAAATCAGATAAGATCACTTGATAATTCTACTGACAGGCACACTGAATTTTGCACACAAAAAGAAGACAAAACAGAAAAGCATTTACTAAACGAACTAAGATGAAATCACAATGAGAAAAAGGGAATTTACCAACAGAGTTTATGCAATTAAAACTCCCCAAAAGTCAAAAGNCTCTCTCCATCAACACTTCAAACCAGCCGCCACCACTGATGCGACTTTTTGTCAGCACACATTCCGCATATATAGTATAGATTACGGGCTTACGGGCTTTTGGTAGTAATGAAAAAGAGAAGGGCCAAGATATCTCCTGCGCTTCTCCAGAACCTCGTCGGCCAAAGGGCCCGTGTACGGCTTGGGCTCGTAGTCGAAAGCCGGCAGATCCGGCTTCTGAGCCGAAGCCGAGAAGCCACGCCGCCGCCCCACATCGCCACCGCAAAGCCACCGCTTTGCGTGGTTCCTGACGAGAACTCCGCCGCAAAGCTTCTTCTCCAACCCCATGATTAGAACAGAGGATATACAATTCACAAACGCGCAAGAACACACACCCACACAGAGACAGACTGTTTGCCTGGGATTCGATTTTGTGAATAGGAGCTTTTTTAATGGAAAAATAAAACCGATAATGGTGAGGGGTTGGTGTTGACTGTTGAAGCTTATCGGATTCTCTGTGGTTTAGGCTTGCTGTTGCTGATGATGGAAAGATTTTGTCAGGTGTGTTTTGATCTGTTTATTTAAACGACAATTATATGGCATTCAACAATTTTATATTTGCCAGTCGTGACATTACTATTTGGTATAGTTCTAAGCAAAAGGTTGTCCAACATGTTAAACTACTGGTTCAATAGTTCACTGATTGGACTATTGGTCGAACCGATCAAACCAGTTTAATTAATATTATTTTTTATTTATTTTATATTTATAATATATTATTATATATATTTTTATCATTAATTTTATAGTCTATAATAACATTTGTCTAAATAAATAAAAGAAAAAAAATTGTCTACATGTTTATGTAATGACCACGTTTTGTAAGAATACTATGTAATGTTCAACTAAATTTGTCACTTTGATTAGTTTTAAACTTCTAATAGCAAAAGTAAAACTCAAATAAAACAATCCCCTTACATCGCCTCTCCTTTGCAATTTGAAGATGTTGGTTGTTTTCATACGCAGGAAATGGAAAAAGAAAAATAATGATAAGGAAAGAAAAAAGATAAGAGGAAAAAGAAAAAAGATAAAGAAGAGAGAAATTTGGGTCGACAAATGCCATTTAGGGAGTAAACAATGGAATAAAAAAATGTCAGTTGAGGCAAGGGCGGACGCAGAAATTTGAAATGGGAGGGGCACAATTAGGGGTGTGCATCGACGACCGAACCGAATTAGGAAAACCGAAATAATTGAACCACATTATGCCAATAACCGAAATCGACCGAATTATCAATTTAAACAGAACATTAACCGACTGAACTTCTTTGTCGGTTTCGGTCGGTTTGGTCAAATCGACCGAACTATACATTTTAAAATATAAATATATATATATATATAATATAATTATTAATATATATATTATATTATAATCTATATAATATAATATAATATATATACAAATATATATAATATATATATATATTATTTGGTCTGTTCGGTTATTTTTATTTATTGCATATAGCCCATATAGCCCACGGGCAGACACCCTTTATGTACTATATTGTATTTTAATATTAATGTTCATTAATTAAATTAAATTCATTTTAGTGAAAATTCATAATTCTTAACATAAATAATCAAATAATTAAAAAAGAATATATATAGAAGGTAATTCATTAATAGATCCATTTATAAGAGCTAGTTTAATCACCCAACCCCTCAATTAAAACAATCCAACTAATTACATACAACTATAATTTTTCTTTTAGAAAATAACTAAAATAAAAGATGTATAAAAATCAATCATCTAGTTATGAATTACCATTCCAATGATATTTCATAAAATTTCATTTAAGAGCCTACAGGGGCATATGTTCATTCTTTCTCTCTCTTTTTTTTTTTTTTAATATATATTTCTTATTATCATTTAAAAAGGACATCAGCTGCAAGTACACGCCATTATTTACTGTGTACTCTTACTCCCACATTGGATAAATAAACCAAAAATGTAAGCTACTTAAAGTGTTGTACAACCACTTCCAAACAAGAGCATGACTAGACTTGTGAGCTGCGTTAACCACCCTGTTTGACGGTTTTGGCTGGTTTTGAATGGATCTAGTGGTTTTTGACCGATTTCGAGCCCAACAGTTGTATTCCTCAAATCGGACAGTGTAGTGTCCGGTTCCCGGTCAAACTGTCTGGTCCAGTCCAATTTTGACAACTTTGGTTCTCAGCATTATATATATCTATGTTAAAGTTAGACATCAGTCAGAATAAGTCAAGCAGCAATTGAGTCGAATCTAGCAAAAGGAATACACACATAAGTACATTCTAGAAATAGCCAAATCACTCAATACACCACAAACTAAACTAAACCCAACACTCTCTGAAGAGAATCAAACTTCTACAAGGAAGAATCACACTTCTAAAAAGAAGAATTAAACAATACACCAACACACCCAAAACAACACGAAAACAAAATAAACATACAATAGTAGAATAAACTCTTCCCCCAACCGACAACAAACTGCAAAGCCACGAACACAACACCCAGAGATAAACCGACCACACTGATAGGAACCCAGCCCGAATATAGCTCCAAAAACTCCAGAGGTGGCAATCGAAACCACACCAAACGACCAAATTCTCTACCCGAACAGGCTTCTCCGGACCAGCCACCGGAGGCCAGCTCCTCCTCTTCCCACGAAACAACCAAGGACTGCAAGCACCAAACACCACCCACAGCCCGCAGCCCCAACTCGGCCCGACTTTCAAGCACCAAGGAAGAACGGTAAAAGAGGAAAAAGAAGAACCTAACCTCTATTTGGAATACTCATATTTGGACCTTTTTTTCCATGTTGGTTTAGGATTCATGTAATTATAATAAATATTCTTCATAACTATTTATTTAATATTTAATTTTTGTGTATAATATATTAAATTAATTATCACTTAATCATCTTTGACATCCTTATAAAATAAAAATATTATCTCACTCTAAATCTCACACACAAACTTAAGATTTCATAAAATTCCTTCAAAATCTGAAAATTATAAAAAGTCTCAAATCTCAAAAAAAGTCTCAAAAAGATATATCCGAAAGAAATAGGGCTTGGACGATGTCCATGGCTCGATAGAAGTAGGGTCTAGCTGGTGAACTAGCTGTAACGAATGAACAACTAACCGAGTGATAGTATGCTGAATCAACAACCGTCGGTCTAGGGATAGGTTGGCAAGCTGTTAAGAATGTCTGAATGAAAAAGCAAGGACTCAGTCAACTGCCCCAGTGAGCGAAGATGGAATCGAAGAACCTGGCAATCGAAGAGGAAGAATAGGTAGGGATGACAGGATTTGAACCCTAAGAACGAAGCGAAGCGAAGTGAAATCATAGAATAAAGAGTTCGTAAAGACAGAACCTGCGAAAACACAATCTTGCTAATAAAATAGCAAGCACAGAGCCATTCATCATATGGACTCGATGCCTTCCCTATATCGGCTGTGGTTGACAAACCAATGATAGATGGTTCTTTCCCTCTCACGACATCTCTCGACATTTCCTCGCGCAAAGAAAAAAAATCGACGAAGTTGAGGAATAAAAGTATATTAGTATACTACCTCTTGGGGAAGCCTAATCAAAGCAGGCAAACAAGAAGATCTGACTGAGTTGATGATGGACCGGATCTCGAAAGGCGAGAGGCTTTTGGGTGAGGACAACTGGAATCATGCCCATGGCTCCATGGAGTAGGGCTTTTCTTCGCATCGAGAAAAAGAAGGTTTTCATACCTTGTTACCTAACCTAATAAAGACCTTGGCTGACAGGGTAGGAGCAAAAGCAAAGTCATATTTGACAAGTCCTTCTGAAAGTTCTTCTTAGGGGGTTACTAGACTGGTGACTATCGAGGATAAGCGATAAAATGTAACTCGAAATCCAACTGAATACACCCATGTAAAAGACTTTTAGCATTTCAAAAATTTCGGTGTATTTAATTTAGACTTTTAAAAGTTTCGAGGTATTCATTTGAAATTTTTAAAAATCTTACAAAATCATGAGGTATCTAACTTAATTTTAGTGGGATTTGTTATGACTTTTTAAAGATTTGTTGAGATTTCATAAGAGAAAAAATCATATCTCACTATAAGGTAGGGTGTGCTTGGATACAAATATATCCGTTCAAATCAAGTTTTTTTTAATCGAAGTTAATTTTAAAAATTATGATATGGTTGGTTGTTAGTGAGATTTTGAGTTTATATAAAAAATAATATTTAAAATAAAATAATTAAAGTTGATTTGATGTAAAAGTATGAGATAAATTATGTGAAGTGATGGTAAGGTAAAATTTTATGTGAGTGTATGAATAGCGAATTAAAATTGATGTGATTTGATACTAATGAGGCTAATGAAGTTGCGTTAAAGTTGAGTTGAATTTTGAGTATGAATTGGATTATTTTATAAACAAACACACCCTAAATTTAAACTCTAAACTTACCGCTAAATATGAAAATATTAAAATGTCTCAAATATAAAAATGTCACAAAATTACACTCAAAATCCCAAATGAATACNATACCAAATGACTATTTTTACAACATTTGAGACTGAATTTGCAATAACATCAATTATGTGGGCCTAAAATTTGTAACCAAACTGAATGTTCAAGAATCCACACATCAACACTTCTCGTAAACCTCCTCCAATTCTCGGGCATCACTACCGAATCTCCACACATAAACACTCAGAAACTTCTTTTCCGTCATCTGCAACACAGTAACAAAACTTGGTTCCTTCTCCATCAGCCCCCTCGACTTCACCATCTCCATCACTCTCAGCCTCGGCATCATTCTCTTCTCCACACTATACATCAAAAGGGAAGGCGACCCCACCAGAATCGACCTGTCAAACCCGACAGTCCTCATCAAGAACTCGACCCCACGCCTCAGCTTCCCCTCAGATGTCTTGAAAAGAATAGGCTTCTTCAAGAAAATCGAATCACACTCGTCCCTCATGAACCCAAGCTCCCGAAACAACTCAAACTTTCTCCCAAGAGTCTTCGAATTATTGCTGTAGAGGACTACGACACCATAGATCAGCATCTTCGAGCCCGTCTTGAAGCCCATCTCGAAAGCCCGTGAGACGAGGCCTTTCAGGTCATCCACTGGCATGGAAAACATCCTAGGCTCGATTTTCAGAAACATGATCAGTTGAGAGCTCAAGACTCCACAGCTCCTCAGGTAGGCTATATTGGATTCCAGGCTCGACCCATTCATGACGATAAAGCCGCACCTCAAGAGTATGCGGAAGAGGAGAAGGTTAATTTCGTCCTTCTTTAAGTTCAGGTAGAGCTCGAGGACTTTCTTGATAGCTTCGATGCTCGGTTTTAGCCTCTTTTCCAGGCTGCCGGTCAGGAAGCCAGGGTTCTTGGAGATGAGAACTGGCAGGTGGGGCCCGTGCAAGCCCAGTTCTTGATAGAAGTCGATTTTGGGCTTGAGATTCTTATTGACATCCAAGAATAGGAGCATGGGCTGGCGTTTGATTGCTCTCTGCAGATGGGAAGGGGAGAGGCCGAGGGATTTCAAGTAGTTGATGACTGAGTCGGGATTTTGTCTGGAGAGTCTTGGTGAGACCTTGCTGGATATTATGGCCGCTTCGTGTGGGGTGTAATTTAGAAATTCCGTGAGGTAGTTGGTTAGAAGGTTGTTATTGGAGCTCAAGTCTGGGGAGGTTGAGGTGGTAGTGAAGCCCCTGTTTCGGGAGGTTTTGAGGAAATTTGTGATGGTGGAAAATAGGGAAGTCAAGGGATACAAATGAGGGTCCTTCACAAGGAAGATGTGGGCCGACTTCGATTTTGCCATCACGTTTTTTTGCCGAAAGTGACGAAATCAAGTTGGATGGGGTATTATGATCTTTTAATACTTGACAGAATCACGGGTTAGTTTGATTATCCTGCAAGACAGCAAAAGGCAGCAGAAAAATTTGTTTGTCAAAGACAATTAAAGCAAGTGATCACATGCTGTAGAGCCTGATTTAACAAATTCAAGAAATCAATCATACGTCTCTATATGCTCGTTCTCATACATACAGAGTTTAGCTATTCCACAATTCCAGCTGGAAAAGAAAGAGAGGAAAAAATCCAGCAAAATAGGTTGATAACAAAATAATTGCTGATTCAGGAGTGAAAAGCAAAAGATAAGACTCCAATCGACAAATACACTCAAACAAACCATATATCAAACACTTGTGGGCACTCTCACAATAAACCAGTTAATGAGCTGCAATCGGTCTCCTAGAGTGGTTGTGTTTAATAAAATTGTGGTCATTGCAGAGATATCTCAAAACACATGAGCACGGATGTCTGTAGCTGAGATGCATAAACACTTCAAATTCTCATATCTCGAGTTAAAAAAGAACAAAAAAGCTCCCTGCCAGTTTAAAGAAGCACGCACCAGATTTCCATTCAAGACAGTGCAAGTACATTAGCAAGCATTGTAGAGCTACGGAATAGAGGTCAGGCGATAGGAGAACGAAGAAGGTCGTTTTAAGACTGAGTATACCTTCGTACTGCATACAGCAGCAACGGCCACGACAAGCCAAGTCAATTTAGGGTAAAAATTTGAACGGGCTAAATCTACAAATATTGAAAGGAGAGAATTCATTTAAAACCTTGGGCGACATTTAAATTCTATGAGAAGACTTTTTAAGATTTTTATATTTTCTTTAAAATTTTTTAAAAATCTTAAGTTTAGAGATTATTTATTTTTAAAACATTTTTTTTAGTCGACCATTATACTTGAATTCGCTAGGGCTTGCCTGTAAATTTATCAATATATTAGTCCGCTATACCCAATTATTATTTATTCTAAATTTTATTATTATTTAATGTCATTATTATTATTATTATTATCATTACCATCATTATTATTATTTATACAATATATATAAAGAATATTCATTTACAAAAAATAGTAGAAAAAAATCGACAATATTAATTGTAATTCATTAATAATAACTTTTTATAAATGTTTTTATATATAATTAATAAACATTTGAAAATTGGAAACTGTAAACTTATATCATATAAACAAATACAACCCAACGTAACAATCAAAACTTATGTTTCTAAATTTAAGGAATCTGGTTTCATTCAAAATTTAAGTTTATAAACTTACAATAAGGCTAAGGAGCCAACTGTTGGCTCCGTTACGGAGTCAAAAACCAATAGGACAGCTCCATGTGAGGCTGTCCCACATGGCTCCAATGTGGGACACCCCACATGGAGCTGTCTGTATAAACTTAAGGGATGTGGTTCCTAAACTTAAATCGATAAGCGTATTTTAAATTTAAATTGATAAGCATATGCATATTTCTTTTTAGAAAAAAAAACTTGTACTCAAATGTTTTTTTTATGTATCATAAAGTGTGCTTTGCGTAATTATGGGTGTCATAATTCTTGGTCTCACTATTTATTTTATATCTTACTATATAATATTTTTATAGGCATATTTACTATGTTGTTTGGACAAATTTTTTACATACTCTATGATTTCACACATTTTTTTAAGATAAAATAAAATATTTTAAATATTTTTATATCTGTAATAGAATTTTCCAAGCACGTTATTGTCACGGGTCCTCGTTCTCTCTCCTTCGTATATCTGAATCAAGACATTTAGTTGATTATCCGACTATGGCGAAGAAACTTGCTCCTTCTTTGACGGGATTGTAGTGTTTCTCGGGATTAACATAGTCATCAGTCATCACACCTCCGGCAGTCTCAAGACCGAGAGAAAGAGGAGTTACGTCGAGAAGCAAAAGGTCTTGCACCTTCTCGTTACCTTTACCGCTGAATAGCGGCCTGGACAAACAACGGCCTCGTCGGGGTTAATGCTCTTGCAAAACTCTTTCCCGTTGAAAAAGTCTTGTAAAAGCTGCTGAACTTTCGGGATCCTAGTGGTCGTGTTGTCGTATTCACCCAACTTAACCTTACTTAAAAACATGTAGTAGCGTGAGCAAGGATCGTATCTATGGGGAATAATTTAATTAGATGATTCTAACTATGTGATTAAAATGAGGGAGATTTGATTTATAATCCTAATTATCTAATTAACAAGAAAATAAAGAGAGTATTGGCAAACTATTATTAAATAAAAGATTCAAAAGTAAACGGCAAGATGAAGTTAAAAATATAGCTAAAGTGTTCCGGTTGAGTTGATTTCCACCCGAAATTATTCTACTGATCCTTGATGCAAATATTATCAATTCATAACTATGTAGTTGCCGTTGAAAGATGAATTCTATCTCCTAAATTGGTTATGCAAAATAAATTCTTCTACACAACCCTTATTAATGCAAGTGTTTAAGAAGAACAACACACACAAAAAAAGGGAGGTGGGCAGATCGGATTTTTCATGTAGAACTATTCACGCACATATTTGAGCAACAATTTCCGGTGTTCTTCCCGCTCCTCCATCGGCATCAACATTTTTCGTACAGTAGCTCATGAAGCCATTGACAACGCATTATATACTGAAAATATCCGAATATAAATCAGTCTCCTCAAAATGTCGTCGATGTCCCAATCTGCCACTGGCTGCAATTGCGAGAAACTCGAGTGTATATTTTATATATCTTTTATGTATATGTGTGTCCCATCTGTCACCGGCTTGAATTACGAGAAACTCGAGTGTATATTTTATGTATCATTTATGTATATGTGGTCCCGATCTACCTCCGACTTGAATTACGAGAAACTCGAGTGTATATTTTATGTATCTTTTATGTATATGTACATCTAAGAACACGTTTATTTATGTTTTATATACCGAAAATATACGTGATAATACGTGATCTGGTTTATTATCGTTCAGTTGCAAAGGTATGTTCCGAATTCATAAGTATATTACCGTATATACTGAAAATATATTGTATATATACCCAGACGGAAACATATACTGAAAATATATTGTATATACCCACACACATATACAGAATGGAAACTGTGAATAAACATTGAAAACAGAAAAAACAAACATCCATTCACAACTAATTGTACATAACTAATATACCAAACATAAACTAAGATGTACAATACATATCCCTAAGATGTACATATATTGTACATATATTGATCATAAACTAATTTGTATAATGAAGAAATCGAACCAAACATCAACTTTCTTGCAACCAACCAACCATCTCCCCCAACCATGGCGGCCGCAACCCTCAACGAGGACGGCGAATATTGAGGACATCATAAAACTCTTCCAAATGATTTGGCTTAGGGATGCACTGGATCATTCATATGTCATTCCAACCCCAGTGAATAGAAAATAGAAAAGCAAGAAATGGCTGACAGGGACAGAGAATGGGAAATCCATCTTCGATCGTTATCCTCTGCCACCATGGACGCCCCCGACCCCGCCTCCGATTCCTCCCTCCTCAACTCCGTCGCGCGCCTCCACGCAGAGACGACGAGAATCAGTGGATGAATTGGTGGCTAGGGTTTACGTCCCTCGGTTGAAGTTCGCCTACGATCGACGACGGAGATGGTGATGGTGTTGTCGTTGACGGTGGTGGTTTGCGCTGGCCGTGTTGAGGTGGCGATTGGAGAGAAGAATGGGAGGAGAATCTGGATTGGGGAGAAGAATGAGAGGGGACTTCTTGATATTAGGGATTAATTATCTCCATAACTGATTCTATTTCCATATTTAAATCGTAATTAATAAACTTATAAAATCTTGTATATGTGCAAATATGTTGGGGTGATTATGTATCTTTGCAAATAAATATTAATTGGGTGTAAGTACGTAATATAAAATAGATTTAATAGTCTGAGGTGTAAATTCCTCTAAATAATTCCCTTAAAAATCCATTATTGCCATGTCCAACAAAATTCGAACACTGCCATGCCATGTTGGTTATACCGGTCAAACTGCACACAAAATCCCGTAGTTTCTACTCGAAATTATAAGATAAGGTCGAAAATATATCAAATAAGCACAAATATCCAACACACAGTCCATATTACATAACACAATTAGCACATATTTTCGACTTATCACCTAGTCAAGCCACCGACAAGGAATAAATCGTGCACGGTGCTTTTATCCATCTTGGCATCTCTCAAACACTTCTCGACGGGCTCCATACACTTCCTGAACAGGTCCATGTTGAGCTCCTCAAACCTGGCTCAGGTGATTGTGGAGTAGAAGTCAACACCTTTGTAGAGAGAGTCAATCTCGATGGTGGTCTGGGCAGTGGACGAGAGAGTCCTCTTTGCACGCTCACAAGCGGTCCGAAGAGCACGAGTACTGCCAGTGATATCCTTGTTGTGCTTATGCTTGAATTCTTGATAAAATGGTTTATCGAAATCTTCACCACCGAGATGGGTGTCACCAGCAGTGGCCTTAACCTAAAAAATTCCCATCCTCAATGGTCAAGAGAGAGGGAGACATCAAAAGTGCCGCCTCCAAGATCGAAAATCAAGACAAGACGACATTCTTTTCGCCAACGCTCGTTGCTTTCTTGTCGAGACGGTAGGCAATGGCTGCAGCTGTGGGCTCGTTGATGATTCGCATGACGTTGAGACCGGCAATGACTCCAGCATTCTATTCTTGACAGATGAGCCCAAGTAGGCCTCGGCAATTTCAAGCATCTTCATGAGGAAATCTCCTCGGCAGCAAACTGTTTGTCCTCACCCTTGTAGTTAACAACTATCGTGGGCTTGTCACCGGGACCAGAGATGACCTTGAATGGCCAGAGATGACATACGAAGGCGTGGTTGCCCTGTTCATTGGCGATGATCTCGACACGATCGTGCTGCCACACGCATGAAGCACGAGTACGTCGTTCCCAAATCAATTCCAATAGCGGGACCTTCACCTTTGCTGGCCATTGCTTTCAAATCGTACATCTAAACCTTCACAGCTGAGAGAGTGGTTATTATAACCAAATACACCCTAAATTTCACCTCCAAACTTCCTGCTACCTCTGAAAATATCAAAAAGTCTCAAATATAAAAATGTCACTCAAAATCCCAAATGAATACACCTCCGCAAATTGCAATAATAATAAAAAAAAAAACCAAATGACCATTTTTACCACATTTGAGACTAAATTTGCAATAAGAGATCAATATGTGGGACTAAATTTTTAATTTTCTCAATGTTCAAGAATCCACAATTTCCTCTTAACCAAAATCACAACGTGCACCAGCAGAAAAAATAAAATAAAATTAGAACCTTTGCCAATTACAAAATTCTCACCTTCATTTAAAATATCTAAAATCACGAAGATCCCAAACACCACTTCTTGTAAGCCTCCTTCAATTCTTCGGCATCACTACTGAATCTCGACACATAAACACTCAGAAACTTCTTTTCCGTCATATGCAACACACCAACAAAACTTGGCTCCTTCTCCAGAAGCCCCCTCGACTTCACCATCTCCATCACTCTCAGCCTCGGTATCATTCTCTTCTCCACACTAAGCGTCAAAAGGGAAGGTGACCCCACCAGCATCGACCTGTCAAACCCGACAGTCTTTGTGAAGAACTCGACCCCACGCCTCAGTTTCTCCTCAGACGTCTTGAAAAGAATAGGCCACTTCACGAAAATCGAATCACACTCGTCCCTCGTGAACCCAAGCTCCCGAAACAGCTCGAACTTTCTACTAAGAGTCTTGGGATTATAGCTGTAGAGGACTAGGACACCGTAGATCAGCATCTTCGAGCCCGCCTTGAAGCCCATCTCAACAGCCCGTGAGACGAGGCCTTTCAGGTCATCCCCTGGTGTGACGAAAATCATAGGATAGTTTTTAAGAAGCATGATCAGTTGAGAGTCCATGACCCCACAGCTCCTCAGGTAGGCCATATTGGATTCCATTCTCGACCAGCTCGTGATGATAAAGCCGGGCCTCGAGAGTATGCTGAAAACGAGAAGGTTAATTTCGTCCTTCTTTAAGCTGAAGTAGAGCTCGAGGACTTTCTTGATAGCTTCGATGCTCGGTTTTAGCCTTTTGTCCAGGCTTCCGGTCAGGAAGCCAGGGTTCTTGGAGATGAGAACGGGCAGGTGGGGCCCGTGCAAGCCCAGTTCTTGATAGAAGTCGATTTTGGGCTTGAGATTCTTATCGACATCCAAGAATAGGAGCATGGGCTGGCGTTGGATTGCACTCTGCAGATGGGCAGTGGAGAAGCCGAGGGATTTCAAGTAGTTGACGACTGAGTCGGGATTTTGTGTGGAGAGTCTTGGTGAGACCTGGCTGGATATTGAGGCCGCTTCGTGTGGGGTGTAATTTAGAAATTCCGTGAGGTAGTTGGTTAGAAGGTTGTTATTGGAGCTCAAGTCTGGGGTGGTTGAGGTGGTAGTGTAGCTCCTGTTTCGGGAGGATTTGAGGAAATTGGTGATGGTGGAAAAAAGGGAAGTCAAGGGATACAAAGGAGGGTCCTTCACAAGGAAGATGCGGGCCGACTTCAATTTTGCCATCACGTTTTTTTGTCGAAAGTGACGAAATCAAGTTGGATGGGGTATTATGATCTTTTAGTATTTGATAGAATCACGGGTTAGTTTGATTTATCCTGCAACACAGCAAAAGGAAGCAGAAAAAATTTATATTGTCAAAGACAATCAAAGCAAGTGATTCACATGCTGTAGAGCCTGCTTTAACAAATTCAAGAAATCAATCATACGTCTATGCTATTCCACAGTTTCACCTGGAAAAGAAAGAGGAAAAAATCCAGCAAAACGAATTGATTAAGAAATAACTGCTGCTTCAGGAGTGAAAAGCAAGATAAGACTCCAATCAACTAATACACTCAAACAAACCACATATCAAACACCTTGTGGGCACTCTCACAATAAACCAGCTATGAGCTGCAATCGCACTCCTAGAGTGGCTGTGTTTAATAAAATTGTGGTCATTGCAGAATATCTCAAAACACATGAGCGCGGGGGTGCATGTAGCTGAGATGCATAAATACTTCACATTCTCATGCGAATTAGAAAAGAATAAAAAGGCTCCCTGCCAGTTTAAAGAAGCACGCAACAGATTTTCATTCAAGACAGTGCAAGAACACAAGCAAGCAGTGTAGAGCTACGGAATGGAGGTCAGACGATAGGAGAACGAAGGAGGTCGATTTAAGATTCGAGTATACCTTGGTAGTGCATACAGCAGCAACGGCCACGACAAGCGAAGTCAATTTAGGGTAAAATTTGAACGGTTTAATTCTAAATATAATATTGAAAGGCGAGTATTCATTTGAAATCTTGGTGACATTTAAATTTTATTAGAAGTAAGACTTTTTAAGATTTTTATAATTTCTTTGAAATTTTAAAAAATGTTAAGTTTAAAGATTATTTATTTCTTACATGTTTTATTGAATGTTATTATTTTAGTCGATAGTTAAACTTGAGTTTGCTAGAGCTAGCCTATAAATTTTATTTTAAATTTTGTTGTCATTAGCCAAAAGGCGGGAAAATAGTTAATGACGCTTTAACTTGAAGTATGTCTTCACCAAACGGTAGGAGAAAACAATTATTATTATTATTATTATTATTATTATTTATAAAAGTTATAGAAGTAGTTTTCCTTTCTTATGTAATGACAAATATTTAATGTACATTAATAGTATCTATAAATGTAATTAATTTAAAATTATGTAAATAACTTTAAAATAAAATATTGTGTATAAAAATATTTTACCATTTATATTCATGTGTGATTCTACTTAATTCTTAGTATTTATTGTATCTCATAATAAATGAAAAATAAAAAAATTATTCATATATATACAACACATCATCAATAATAACCAAATTCTTTTAAAAAAGGGAAAAGGAAAAAAAAATCAGTTACATTGAGAAATGTAACATGTTATTAGTTTATTTAGGTTAATACTACAAAAAAATTATGTATATATATAAGGTCTGTATTTATATTTAAGTAAATACAGACCAGTCGGCTTCGGGCAGTCCACCTTCGGAGAGGACATCGGGTTGCAAGTTTCCCCACTAGCGATCACCCACTTGTACGTCCTCGCGCATCCCCTTGATGCTCGTCCTCAAGTCCCGCCCAAGGACCTCGAGGTGATCCAAGCGATCCTCCATCGGCATGCGCTCCTCCAGTCTCTCCTCGACTGTGCGCTTGATGGACTCTATCTCTTCTAAGACGTGTGTCTCCAACGCCTGGAAGTTGAACTCAACCTCTCGAGTTTCTCAGACATCTCCCCAACAACTTGATCTAATATTAAGACCTCTGCGCGTGCTCGACTTTGGTCCTAGCGCTTCTTGTCCTTGGTCTCGGTTGTATGCTCCCTTCCTCGGGCTTGCTCCTCGGTTACGCCCGACCCGGACGCTTCACTATCCTTGTCTTCGGCCATACTCTACACGGTACTGAGAGTGCTCTGATACCACTTGTCACTCCCTTGTTCCTCGAACGATGGATGCGTGCGGCCTTAGCTCCTCGTGTGCTTTTCACAACTAGATAAGTCAGCCACACCGTGCTCGGATCGTGCTCGATGTATGCGAGTGCTTTGGCTAGAGAGTGTGGGAAAGATATTCAAGAGAGTTGAATGGAAAATGCTTGTACTATTCACTCAAACTTTGTACAAGAGAGCTTGGATGCTTGGATTGCAAATGAGGAGGTCTCTCATATTTATAAGCGCAACCTTCTCTAAGAATCTTCTACATCCTAAGGGTCTTGGGTCTTCTAGACCCTTCCATAAAATTCTACTTCCTACACAAGTCCTAGAACCTTCTACAAGACTCTTGCCCTATCTACAAACCTCTACAAGGTTCTAGGCTCTTCTTGTACCTACTACAAGTATCTACACAATTCTAGAACCTTCTAGAAGCATCCAGTCAAAATAAGGCATTTATTATGGATCTATGTACAAGACCTAGGTTTGGGGCAACTTAGGTCATCAAAAGGACGAGTAGGCCTTGTGTGCGCTCAGTCTCCCTGCGTGCATGCGGGTCTACTTGGGTTTAGTCGGCCTTGGTGGCGCAGGGTGTTGTAGGATCGTGATAAAAGGCTGAAAAACCAAATCGCCCTATGCGAGAGAAATGGAGGGTTCCAAAAGAGCATTATCAATATTCATAATACTTGATGACTGTTATTGCATTTTTTCCTTTATCATATACTGTAATTTAAATTATTCACGATACATTACATCTCCCTTTATGTCATCACAACGCAGGAGGGCTCGTTCGTCCACTAGTTCATTTCTACCTTCTCAAATACTTGGCATGGTAAGTAAAAATTTTACTTGAAAATCCCAGTTTTCGGCCAAGAACCAACATCAATCACTCTTGCACGTGAGATTTTACTTGAAAAAAAAAACAGTTTTGTATGTGTATGACGCACGACTATAGGTCGCTACTTCAGTTATAGCAAATCTGTTGCCAAAAAAAAATATATATATATTATAGCAAATCCAAAGAGGTTGAGAAAATATATCATTCTATGGTGTCTTGCTACCAAAAAGACGATAGATATAGTCTACATTGAAATTTTCAACAAATTGTGATACAAATCAAATGCGCAAAGAAATTTTGCTCGTCACCAAAATTACAACGGTTTACAAGCCACAATCTAAGGACCCAACAGGACAAAAGAACTCAGTCAATTAANATCGAACAAATATCATCCAAAACTCGGTCCATGCTCGGCCTCTCGTTCACAGGAAGCACACACCTTATCGACACAGCAAGCAGCTCTCCCACAGCCTCCGAATGCCCCTCCTCACAAAGCACGTCTTGATTTACGCAGTCCAATCCGCGCCCTTCCTGATCACACAGCCTTACCCAGTCAACGAGATCGACGGCTCTCGACTGTCCAGAGATGATATCCCCCGCGCTCCTCCCCGTGAGAAGCTCCATGAGCATCACACCTAGTGCGTACACGTCGGCCTTGAACGAAGGACGGGGCTTAGCAAGCTCAGCCAGCTCAGGGGCACGGTAGCCATGGGCTCCAAGGGTCAGTATCTGTTCAGATACGCCAGCTGGCGTCATCAGGCGGTGTAGGCCGTGGCCCGTGAGCTGGGCATTGTGATCGGGGCCCACAAGGAGGATGTTTGTGGGCTTTAGGTTCCCATGTGGGAGGCCATGGTTGTGGAGGAATGATAGGCCGCGGGCAATGTCCGTGGCAATTTTTAGCCGTTGGGCGAATGTTAGAGGCTTGTGTCTCCTGGGAGTGGTTTCTGAAAATAGTAAAGAGGAAGTTTTACAATGCAGTTTCTTTTTTATTTTTTAATGTAGATGATTGTGGGCAAAGATTTTCCTATTTTAAAGAGTTGGGGTCTGTCTAAGGGGTAATTGTAAAGCAAACAGAAATTTCGGAGGGTATTTGCTTATTTGGCATCTGTAAAGAAATTGGGAGGTTGGAGATTGATTAGGAGAAACCTAAAGGGTAGTTTTTCTGTCATTCCTAAATATAAGGAACAAATGAGAAACAAAGATGTTCATTAAAATTAAAAATATCCATCAGGAGAATTCCACTGATGCAGAATCCCTTGAGAATATCCATGCTAGTTTTAATTCGGATAAATAGTAAACCCAGCATCGATGGACGAACACAAACTGATTTTGTGTATCTGTTTACCATATGGTGCTTTAAAATATAGGGAAAATATGAACATAAAGTAGGAAAAACTACAGAAGTTATCCAAAACCATGGAATATAAAAACAGCAACATGCAAGGAAGGTAAGAATTTGGCTCCGGCCACATAAAATGAAAAGTTTCTCGGATCCATACCGTAAAGATGAAAAGCCAAGCTATCCCCAACTATATAGTCAGCCAAAACGAGCCTTTCCTGTTCCCTCGGGCCCCAGTAATACGCCCGAAGAGGAACAACACTCGGATGCCTCATTGACCCAATCTTTTTCACCTCCTTTGCAAATTCTTTCTTTTGTTTCACCAAACCAACTCTCAGCCACTTCACGGTCAGCACGTGCCCGCTATCCAAAGTAGCTTTGTACAGAGTCCCGTGACTGCTTCTACCGAGCACCTCAGCAGGAGCTCGTGACAACTCCTCTGCCGTAAACACAATCGACGAGTCGAGAAAAAAAAGCTCGCCTGAAAATCTATCCGGCGAGCACACGTCAAGCCTGGCGGGTCCCACTGTGTCAAAATATTGCGATGAGGATGCTATTTGAGAATTGGGACTCGAGGGCCCCACACCAGATACAGACATCGAAGTTGAAGTCAATAAGTGATCGTCTGGAAAGCTCAAACGAGACGAACGGCTGAATACTCCTCCTGCTTTGATATCTCTTTCGGATGTCTGCCCACAAAATCCTCTTCGCGTAGGGAAATCGTTAAACCGAGCACGACGGTAGGCGAATACGACAAAGGCAATCATCACAGCAGCTCCAATGGATGCTAAGATAATAGCTGCTTGGATGCTCGATTTTGGTCTGTGATGGGTTCTGTTGTTCTGAGTTTGTTCGGGGACGTGATTGTCAGATGTAACAGTGTTGTGGGGTTCGAGGCTGTTACCGGAAAATGAAGAATCGGGAAAGTGATACAGGTTTTCGGGTATTTTGCCCGATAATTTGTTGTAAGACACGTCGAAGAATAATAAGCTGGACGGGAGTTTGTCAGGGATGTTTCCAGTGAAGAAGTTGTTGGATAAGTTGAGGTACTCGAGGGCGATGAGTCTGCTCAATTCATGCGGGAGATGCCCGGATAATTTATTATAAGCAACATTGAACGACTTAATCTTACCTAAGTTACTGACAGTAGAAGGTAATCTGCCTGTCAGTAAATTATTTGAAAGATCTAGAGACTCCATTGGTGGACTAGATGATAAAACTAGTAACTCTTTTGCATGGGAGCCATCGAGAGGAATTGGTCCAGTCAAGAGGTTACCAGACAAGTTCAAATTGGTTAAGGTAGTAGAAGTAAACAAGCTAGGAGGGATCAAACCATCAAGTCTGTTAGAGCTTAGATCAACTGTGACAAGTGTTTGCAAGGAGCTTAGGCCCAAAGGCAAGTTTCCCTTGAGTGAATTGTTTCGAATGCGAAGGACAGTCAATTTTTGGAAATTTGAGAAATCGGGAATGCTTCCACTCAAGGTGTTGGAGCTCAAGTCTAGAATTTCTAAATCTATATTCCATTTTGTCAGAATAGAGATGTCGTCTGATAGGTGGTTTCTGCTGAAATCAAGAATCCGGCTATTTCCTATTGATGGAGGCAGCGAGCCTGATAATAGGTTTGATGAAAGATTCAAAGTGCCCAACGTTGTTGAGCTGATCTGTGGTATAGGACCTGAAAACATGGATGTAAAACTTTAGAGTTCAAAAGTGTAATGCTTGAACAATTACACAGAAACATGGAAATATCTAAGACATTCGAAACACACAAAAGCATCAGGGAGATACACAATGGGATTTCAGTTAAAAAAACAATTGCATTTATTTGCTTATGTAGTTGAAATATGTATCGACAGTACGATTGCATCATTCTTTTATACATAAAGAAAGCAGATTTTTTTTTTTAAAAAGAAAAAGCTACTCGATGCTATTGAGGTTCGCGAATCTCGACTCTTTAGTCTTATCCACTATATATGCCACAATGTACGAATCTTTAACAAAACATAATAGAGTAACTGATTCAAGAAAAATACTTCAAGAAGGGAAATGGCAATAAATTCTTAGTTGGACTGTCTAGCTAAGAACAAAACAGAAATGTACAACCATCCTTAAAGACTAGAACATTTCAGCCGGTCAAGTATATCAAAGCATTACAATCAGTTTACCGTGAAAGAAAGAAAAAAGGAATCAAATGAACCAAATCTTAACAATCAAGGTATCTGGTTAAATAAATAAACAAGCACTTATTTCACTTATTTTGCAACAATCAAGGTAACTTGATAAAACAACAATTATTAACCGATACATAAAAAACTTCAAAGTTCTATGCAAACGTCTTGTGATACCAGTGCCAGATTTAGTGAAATACTAATTATTAACAGATACATAAATAACTTCAAATCTCACCAGAAAATTCATTTCTACTAAGATCCAGCTCCACCAATGGCACTTCCTCCTGCAAAATCCCACCTTGAATCGACCCAGAAAGCCGGTTATTTCCTAATCTCAGAACCTGAAGATTTGGCAACTGCACAAAATCAGGAAGCTCACCAGTAATCCCATTATCACCCAAATCCAGAACCCTCAAGTTTCTGAACAATCTCATCACATCATTCCCCCAAAACCCTCCCCTCAAAGCATTCCCACTCATATCCACGAATATCACCGTATTAGAAAGACTTGAAACATTCTCCACACTCAATTCAATCGTCCCGGAAAACATATTCCCACTCAAATCCAAGTACTCCACATTCCTCAGCTCCGGAATCAGTTCCCTAACATCCCCCTCCAGCTGATTCGAATGCAAATCCAACACTCTTAGCTGCTGCAGGTTCCTAATTCCCTCCGGAAAGAATCCAGAAAATCTATTATTCGATAAATTAACGTAATGCAGGGCCCACAAATCAGTCAACCGAGCTGGAATTGGGCCGTAGAACTGATTTCCGGAGAGATCAATCGCTTGAAGGGACGACATTGCACCGAGACTAGGAACGAGCCGGCCGGAGAGCGAGTTACCGGCGAGGGTTAGGTTTTGCAGGGATTTTAACGGAATGAGTGTGCTGAATTTGAGGTCTCCGGCCAGACCCAGCCGGTCGAGAGAAATGGAGACGACGGAGGAAGATTCCGCGTCGCAAGAGACGCCGTGGAAGGCGTCGGGGCAGGCGGAGGCGTTGCTCGGGTAAATCCAAGTGGAGAGGACTTTATTGGTTGGGTCGGATTTGATGCCCTTCCTGAACTCGAGGAGCGAACGGATTTCGTCGACGGCGGCGGAGCCATGGCGGAAGCGGAGGAGGAGGAGGAAAGAGAAAGAGAGGAGGGAAGTGAGAGTAAGTGGCATGGCGGTTGGCGGCGGAGGTGGCTAGGCCTTGAGGGGTGACATTTTTGGGTGGTGGTGGGTAAAACTGTTGAGGGTGGTGGAAAATTATTTTACTTTATGCTATCAAACTTCGTTTATTTAATATTGACAGCATCACTTACTTCAATATACCCTTCTAGATAAGACTCTGCATGCCATGCACCTGAAATAATATTATTAAAATTATATCATTATATCTTTATAAATTAAACATATACATAGCATGATTATAATGTATCATACTTTATTACAACTTACAAGTTACAATACACTATTATTTTGTTCATACAAATAATAATAATAATAATAATAATAATAATAATAATAATAATAATAATAATAAAATGATATATAAATGTCTATATATTATTGACCCTGATCTCATAAAAATATTCTTGATTTAATTATTAGTAATGGTGCATACAAAAAAAATATATTTTGCACATTTGAAGTGTAAACCTTTAAAGTTAACTAGTGCGTGGCCCGTGCGATGCACGGGAAAACAATATTTTGATTGTATTATAAATTAAATAAATAAATAACATTAATCATTATTCACCTATTATTTTTAAATTAAATCGGGTTGGACACAGTCCGACCGGATGGACCGAGAACCGGTTTATAACCAGTCTAGTGCGCTTGAATAAAATATTTGCTATCGAATCCGTCAACACCAGTCTGTTGGACTGATAGGATCGATAGGATTTCCTAAACAAATTTTGTTACATTAAAAATTATTTTAAATAAAATTACATATTTAAATAAAATAGAGATTTATAAATTGTTTATCAATTAGTTTAAACATTTGAATTTATAAATTGTTTAGATATTTAAGTAACAATTTTTATTTAAATTTACTACAAAAAGTACTATATATATATATATATACACACTAAAGTATAATGTATTAAAATATGAACAACCACAAATGATTTAATAAAATACCTTGATCGTTTCGATGACGGTCCGGTTTTGAAAACCTTATATTTACCGTACATTAATATAAATTATAATAAAATAATTATTTTGTTCACATAAATAATAATAAAATTATATATAAATATTCATAAATCATTAATGATGTATGATTATTTGAGGTTTGGACTATATCACATTCACGTAATAAAGCATTTTTAATATTAAAATTTATATTTAGGTTCAATAATCGATTTGGTCTGGTCAAACTGATACATAACTTAGTTACCTGGGACCAACCAAGTTGTGTCAAGTTTTTTTACTATTTTAAATATCACTTAAAAGTAATTCAATCAACATGGGCAGTACCCTAATTCAATCACCCGATTGATCCAAAGTAATTTCCTTATTTTCTTTAAATATAATATTTGATTTTATGAAATTAAAAGATTTTATGATTCATATGTCTACACCAAATGATAGTATATTAAGATTATAAATTATATATCTAAAGATGAATTATTTATTTTTATTTTATGCATATTAATATAAAATAAACATAATAATTTAAAAAAAAATCAAGATTAATTGATTGGGTATGCAACTTAAAAAATATTTTTAGTGTTCAATATATATATATATATATATATGTTTAACATGATTGAATTTTTGGATTAGAATATATATATTTAAAATGATTTTATTATTAAAAGTCAAAAAGAAAAAATGCCATAAAGATTACAACTTTGAAAAGTTTGTAACCATTAATTTAGGAACCATCCAATTTTAAATGATTTATAATTTTTGAAACATGATACGTACTTTGAAAAGTTTGTAACCATTAATTTAGGAACCATCCGATTTTAAATGATTTATAATTTTTTAAACATGATACGTGAATTTAAAACCCATTAATTTAGGAACCATCCAATTTTTTGATAATGAATTAAAATTAAANATATATATATATATATATATATAGATTCTGATTTTCTCTGTTGCTATTGTTAGACTTTTTTCATCTGCAAATAATTATTCGAAAAGTTGAATGGTTGAGAACTTGAGATTTACATAAGTGACATAATGATATTTTAAGTTGTTATATAGAAATTAATTTGTTAAAAGATTTTTTTTTAAAAAAAGAAAAAGACATTAGCAAGTAATTTAATTTCTATAAAAAGATAGCTGTCAAAGATTGATTTTCACATTTTATGATTATATTATACTATGTTAATTGTTTAATTTTTATATATTATCAATTATATGGTGCTATGTAAAATAATTATCTCAGATCCACATGGTCTTAGGCTGTCATCAACTTCAAATAAGAAGAGATAACTAATACCAGTTTTGCTATGGAGTCATCGGATGGCTCGACTTATGGAGTCATTCACACTTATTCACGAATAATGTATTGATATGTGTCACAATAATTATACTTTGGACAGGTGTCAATACATTAAGCGATGAATGACTACATAAGAAAACTATCTCCATAAAATTGTTGTAACCAATACATGATATTTTTAAGCCTCCAACAAGGAATGCTAAATTTAATGAATTTGATTGAGAGTAAAAGTTAGATGTTCATGTGGCCGCCACCAACATTTTTTATTGTAGTATGATATCCTTATTTAAGCTCTTAAAGAAGAGGATGATCAAATTAATCTTATCACATTCTTTTAATTCAGGTGCATATATTTTTTTTTTCCTTTTTTTTTTAATCTTAGTTAATTTTACGCAAGATTTTGCCACCACGGTAGAAACTAGCCACCAATGCAGAAATAGATTATGGAAATGCTACTACAAAATCACAAATAATTACGAAACTGCACTAAAGTTTGATGTTATTAGAGTGTGTTTAATAAAACCATAAGGTTATACCATATTTAATAACTCATAAACTTCTTATGTCCAAATAATTTTGGTTACTAGGAAGAACTTATCTATGTGATTTTGTACTTAAAGATGAAATTTTTATTGAAGTCAACCTGCAAACTAATTTAATCAAACATTTTTATTATATAACTTAGTATTTAAGCCATCAGCCATAAACTATCAACTATAATCTCATAATTCACTTAAAGCTATAAGCACAACTAAAGTTATCAAATATATCCTTAGACATGTCGAGTTTTTATTAGTAATAAATAATAAAACTAACATAAATTCTGCTATTGGACTGTCTAGTTATTAGACAATATTTTTTGTTCTTATAAAAATTCATAATTACACTAAAGTATTATACTTTTATTTATATTGTATTCTTAAAATGTAAAGCACATAAATATTGATAAACGTTACCTATACCCTGCATATTCAATTATCCCACCAAAGAGATTACAACATAACCACTATTAGTACCTACATACAGAGCCTGCTCATGTATATACCTCCAAAAATAAGTCATTGAAAAGTTAAGGGATATGCCTGCTGCATGAAAATCAAGCTTCAAACAGATGCTATTATTGTCATGGAATAATACAACCTAATACATGTACAATGTGAANCAAAAAAAAAAAAAAAAAAAAAAATATTGCATGAATATATAACTTTTGCAAGCAACATACTCGTGTAGCCCCAAAGTTTGATCCGCGTTGAATCTTGCAGCAGCGTGAAAAATCTCCCGAGTCACACAAAACTCTGGAAAAAAATATTGCTTGGAATGTGAGTCTTGGTTCGAAAGCTAAAAATATAAACGTTATTTGATAAGTCGAAATGCAGATGAAACGAAAAGCTATTTTGGAAAGGAGAAAAATAAAATCTAAATGATTTTGAATTCATTATTCCAAAACAACATAAAAAAGAGATGACAGCACCATTTTCTTTAAGCAGTTCCAGTTATCAGCTTCTCTCTTTGATCAAATTTCTTAACTTTCACAATGCCAATCAGAACCTTCAAGCCGAAATACGCACAGAGGAAGTATGCAATTGTAGCAGGTGTCTGAAAATGGAAACTAAAGTTAAAAAAGGAAATTCAGGGAAAGACATAATCGGCAGGTTACAACTGAAAAATTAAATTTGAGGACTAACTTGAATAGAATTGAGATATAAAACAGTGGCCAGGTTGATTAAGCTTCCAGCCGCAATCGCCTGTTAATTAGAAATCAAATAAGTAAGATTTAAATGAATGAACACGAAAAATTATTGTTAGGAGAATAAAAATACTCTAAATCAATTATTATTTTATTTAATGACTAAGTTCTATTAGTTGTCATATAAACTACAAACTTACACTTCCAATTGTGCTTTGAACAGCTGCCACACGTTGAAAGGCCCTCTCAGATTCCAAAGCTCGTACACGAAGCTTCAAATCGCCTTGCTCCTATGAGATAACACAAAATGATAAAATTTCAACAAATTTATTTATTTATTTATTTATTATTTTTATTTTTTATTTTTTTGACTGGAAAGTTCTTTTCAAACAATGTTAAACCTACTAAATATTAAAAACAATGTCTACCAATCGTTGGATAATCTCAGCAAGTTTCTCAACTCTATCAGCCTGCCTAAACAGATTGTAAAATGCACGAGATTGTCTATCCCATCTGTTCTTCAAGTCCTGGAACAATATGCAATATATATTTTCAGCACCCTATGCTACTGTTTTGTAATTTCCTAATCTATGTTTGAAACATATGTCATGCTAAAAGGAGGTTTTGAGAAATTTGCCTTTTTGATGACTTCCATACCAGCTTCACGGAACTTTAACAATTCTAGAGCATAGCTGTGTCGGGAAAGAAAAAGTACATTAATCGAAACAAATATAATATTTCTTTAAATTAAATTTTAATCGGATAAGTTCCTACTGTTGTGGTTTGAGTCAAATTTGAAAGGAAAAATCCAATTATTTTTTCTATTGCAGTATCCTTTGACATTTTTGCTGATTGGGAGTAAGCCAATAAACATATACATCAAGGAATACTTGAAATTAATCTGATGCGTATTTGCAAATTTGAAATAATAACTGGATTTTATTTGTATTCCTTCAAACAATAGTGGTAGTGTATGTAGAAAGAATTTCCATATTTGAACATGGACACCAAAAGTACGTTTCAAACGAAACTTACGGTTTAGAAATTTCAGTTATATCAAATCGAGGATCAAGTCCCTTCCCAATACCATCCAACACTGTACACATAAACTTCAGGTGAATATGACTGTTCTAAAAATAAATAAATAAATAAAATATTGCAGTTAAGTACCGAGAAGAACAATGAGATACCTGAGAAAGCTCTAACAACAAATGTGAAAGTAGCTGGAAAACGGAATGGTTGATCTGCAGCAATTGCCAGCAAGTCTTCACCTGTTAAGTTATGAATCAAACATAAGTACTCAAACGGTTAAACAGTCATAAAGAAAGTTGAAACAAGACTAAAAACAACTCATTGATTTAGGTAGGAACATCATTGGTTTGGACTTTCCAACAAATTATGGTAACAAGCAATCACCCTGTAAAATGCATGACTCAAAATTAACTGTAATCAGTATTGAATCACGTATGCCTCATACATTAAATTAACAAAG